CAACAACAGAACATCCCTCCCACTTCTCCCACAACAACAGAACATCCCTCCCACTTCTCCCCCAACAACAGCACATCCCTCCCACTTCTCCCCCAACAACAGAACATCCCTCCCACTTCTCCTCCAACAACAGAACATCCCTCCCACTTCTCCCCCAACGACAGCACATCCCTCCCACTTCTCCCCCAACGACAGCACATCCCTCCCACTTCTCCTCCAACGACAGCACATCCCTCCCACTTCTCCTCCAACAACAGCACATCCCTCCCACTTCTCCTCCAACAACAGAACATCCCTCCCACTTCTCCCCTCTTCTGCACTGGATATGGAGGTCGGGGGAGGAGGTAGACGTGTGGTCATCAGATGTTGTAGGAAAGTGATGACATCATACAGTGGAAATGACCGTAATGTCCTCCATTGTCTCCCTTCAGGCCCGGGCTTAGCATTTGTCGCCTACCCAGAAGCCCTTGCTCTTCTTCCTGGCTCCATCTTCTGGTCCATCTTGTTTTTCCTGATGCTCTTCACACTGGGAGTGGACACTCTGGTAAGTGAAGTCTCTGGAAGTTGTCCATTATTTGTGTCCTTAGTCTCTCCCTGAATGGAACACGTCACATGCCAGCCACGCATCCATCATGAGGGTCTATTATAGACCCCGTTATGGTTCCCACTTACTGGCTGTCCACACGTTGTCTGATGGTCACCCTCCAAGTCCTTCCACATTATAATACCTGCCAGGCCAATGTATGGGGTGCACACGGATAGCACATATCATAGGGAAGCCATGATGGCAGTGTGGCTCCTCCCTCTGACCATTCAGCCGTGCGCATTCCCAATACAATTCACAGCACAGCAGTAAAATATCTCTGTAAGGGGGTGAAGGACAGACGTATGTATATGCTTGATATCTTATTAACAGGATACAATCTTTAGTCATATGTGTGCCGTCACCATTGGGGCCTCATAGCAGTCATGTGTTCTGGTATGACCACCATGGGGGCTCCAAAGCAGTCATGTGTTCTGGTATGGCCACAGGGGCCCCATAGCAGTTACATGTTCTACTATGGCCATGGAGGCCCCATAGCAGTCACATGATCTGGTATGGCCATGGGACCCCCCCATAGTTGTCACATGCTCTTGTATGGCCACAAGGGCCCCCCCATAGCAGTTGTATGTTTTGGTATGGCCATTGTTACCCCATAGCGATCACATGTTCTGCTATGGTCATAGGGGCTCCATAGCAGTCACATGTTCTAGTATGGTCATGGGGGGCCCCATAGGAGTCGTATGACCATGGGGGCCCCATTGCAGTCACATGTTCTAGTATGGCCATGGGGGCCCCATAGGAGTCATATGTTCTGGTATGGTCATGGGGCCCCCATTGCAGTCACATGTTCTGGTATGGCCACGTTTACACCCTTAACACTGCCACAGTATCATAACTAATGAGAAAGGCGTCTCCAGATCAGTAGGGAGGAGTTAAACATCTGTAAGGTGAGTCACATTGGGGAGATTCCCTTCACTTCCTGTCTGGGAGACTCAACAGGAAGTGAAAGGAAATATCTTCAGGTGTCCCTGTTGGAAGATATACCCTACATTCCTGTTCTGGGGGCAGCTTCACCTTTTGGACTTTCCATCACCTTCTGTCTCGGTGACACCCGGGAACATGTGACCACAGAATGCCGGCATGGAGCAGACCCAAGACTGGTGTTCTCTAGGGCCGGGCTCCTGGATGGCTGGTGTTCTCTCGGGCCCGGCTCCTGGATGGCTGGTGTTCTCTAGGGCCGGTCTCCTGGATGGCTGGTGTTCTCTAGGGCCGGGCTCCTGGATGTGGATGGCTGGTGACGTTCTCTAGGGCCGGGCTCCTGGATGGCTGGTGACGTTCTCTAGGGCCGGGCTCCTGGATGGCTGGTGACGTTCTCTAGGGCCGGGCTCCTGGATGGCTGGTGACGTTCTCTAGGGCCGGGCTCCTGGATGGCTGGTGACGTTCTCTAGGGCCGGGCTCCTGGATGGCTGGTGACGTTCTCTAGGGCCGGGCTCCTGGATGGCTGGTGACGTTCTCTAGGGCCGGGCTCCTGGATGGCTGGTGACGTTCTCTAGGGCCGGGCTCCTGGATGGCTGGTGACGTTCTCTAGGGCCGGGCTCCTGGATGGCTGGTGACGTTCTCTAGGGCCGGGCTCCTGGATGGCTGGTGACGTTCTCTAGGGCCGGGCTCCTGGATGGCTGGTGACGTTCTCTAGGGCCGGGCTCCTGGATGGCTGGTGACGTTCTCTAGGGCCGGGCTCCTGGATGGCTGGTGACGTTCTCTAGGGCCGGGCTCCTGGATGGCTGGTGACGTTCTCTAGGGCCGGGCTCCTGGATGGCTGGTGACGTTCTCTAGGGCCGGGCTCCTGGATGGCTGGTGACGTTCTCTAGGGCCGGGCTCCTGGATGGCTGGTGACGTTCTCTAGGGCCGGGCTCCTGGATGGCTGGTGACGTTCTCTAGGGCCGGGCTCCTGGATGGCTGGTGACGTTCTCTAGGGCCGGGCTCCTGGATGGCTGGTGACGTTCTCTAGGGCCGGGCTCCTGGATGGCTGGTGACGTTCTCTAGGGCCGGGCTCCTGGATGGCTGGTGACGTTCTCTAGGGCCGGGCTCCTGGATGGCTGGTGACGTTCTCTAGGGCCGGGCTCCTGGATGGCTGGTGACGTTCTCTAGGGCCGGGCTCCTGGATGGCTGGTGACGTTCTCTAGGGCCGGGCTCCTGGATGGCTGGTGACGTTCTCTAGGGCCGGGCTCCTGGATGGCTGGTGACGTTCTCTAGGGCCGGGCTCCTGGATGGCTGGTGACGTTCTCTAGGGCCGGGCTCCTGGATGGCTGGTGACGTTCTCTAGGGCCGGGCTCCTGGATGGCTGGTGACGTTCTCTAGGGCCGGGCTCCTGGATGGCTGGTGACGTTCTCTAGGGCCGGGCTCCTGGATGGCTGGTGACGTTCTCTAGGGCCGGGCTCCTGGATGGCTGGTGACGTTCTCTAGGGCCGGGCTCCTGGATGGCTGGTGACGTTCTCTAGGGCCGGGCTCCTGGATGGCTGGTGACGTTCTCTAGGGCCGGGCTCCTGGATGGCTGGTGACGTTCTCTAGGGCCGGGCTCCTGGATGGCTGGTGACGTTCTCTAGGGCCGGGCTCCTGGATGGCTGGTGACGTTCTCTAGGGCCGGGCTCCTGGATGGCATGTTGCCTGCACCCCTTGTGACTCTCATCTCTCTGTCCTCTCCAAGTTTGGCAATATGGAAGGGATCACAACGGCTGTCTTGGATGAGTTCCCGGTGCTTCGGGAATGGAAGCGGAAGACTATATTCCTGGGGGCCCTCTGCTTCCTATTCTACTTGCTGGGACTTCTGCTGGTCACTCAGGTGAGACCCCCGAAACCATCGTGATATGTTCTGGTTATTATTGAGGTGACTTCACACCATAGTCAACCATCAACCAGAGGGGGGCAGCTAAGGTCTCCCCTCACCGATCATTCCAGCGCCCATTATAAATGGGGGTCATATCATGGGAAAGCCGCTTATTACCGAGGGGGGCCATACGGAGGGTCCCCCCATACCGAGGGTCCCCCCATACCGAGAGTCCCCCCATACCGAGTCCCCCCATACAGAGGGTCCCCCCATACCGAGGGTCCCCATACAGAGGGTCCCCCCATACAGAGTCCCCCCATACGGAGGGTCCCCCATACGGAGGGTCCCCCATACGGAGGGTCCCCCATACAGAGGGTCCCCCATACAGAGGGTCTCCCCATACAGAGGGTCCCCCCATACAGAGGGTCCCCCCATTCATGTACAGGAAGTCCCCCCCATGTCTCTTCCAAACAGTAACAGTATCCTCGTGTGAAGGCCGCTCTGTTGCCCCCTTCAGTGATATCGGGAGGGCAGCTGGGGTAATTTGCCTATGATGCTGATCACATGGTTGTTGGGATGGAAGCTCCACCCATCTTACATGAGACTCCTCCTCCTCACAGGGCGGCATCTACTGGTTCACCCTGATAGACGCCTACAGCACCAGCTTCGGCCTCATCATCATCACCCTCTTCATGTGTCTGGGCATCGCCTTCTTTTATGGTGAGTACCGGTGAGGGAGGCGGGGTCAGTCGGGGAGTATCTGGGTGGGGCCCAGCTAAGCTTTAGCAGGTCATGTGACCTTGGGGAGAGAAGGAGCGTTCCATACATGAAGGGGAAGAAGAAGATCCTCCAGACGAATATCTCTGGTGAGTAGAAGGTCCTCCAAAGGTTCTGTGGGCCGCTATTTGGAAGAGACAGAATTGGGGCGCAGCTCCGGGGTCAGCTAGTCTGTGGGAGGGGCAGAGACACAACTACTGGAGGAAATCTCACCATTGTGGGAGGGGCAGAGACACAAACTACTGGAGGAAATCTCACCATTGTGGGAGGGGCAGAGACACACACTACTGGAGGAAATCTCACCATTGTGGGAGGGGCAGAGACACAAACTACTGGAAGGAAATCTCACCATTGTGGGAGGGGCAGAGACACAAACTACTGGAGGGAATCTCACCATTGTGGGAGGGGCAGAGACACACACTACTGGAGGGAATCTCACCATTGTGGGAGGGGCAGAGACACAAACTACTGGGGGGACTCTCACCATTGTGGGAGGGGCAGAGACACAAACTACTGGAGGAAATCTCCCCATTGTGGGAGGGGCAGAGACACATACTACTGGAGGGAAATCTCACCATTGTGGGAGGGGCAGAGACACAGACTACTGGGAGGAATCTCACCATTGTGGGAGTGGCAGAGACACAAACAACTGGAGGAAATCTCACCATTGTGGGAGGGGCAGAGACACAAACTACTGGGGGAAATCTCACCATTGTGGGAGGGGCAGAGACACAAACTACTGGAGGGGAATCTCACCATTGTGGGAGGGGCATAGACACCCTTGTGGGAGGGGCAGAGACACACAGTAATGGGGGGAATCCTCAGCGGTGTCGGTTTGTCTCTCATGGATTTGGGTTTTGTTCTCAGGTGTGGATCAGTTCTGTCAGGATATTGTGGATATGATCTGCCGCTGTCCGCCTTGGTGCACCAAACTCCTCTTCTACTTCAAGGCATGCTGGGTATTCTGCACACCGGTGCTCTTGCTGGAAAATGTCACCCCCCCCCCATTGTAATACCCTAAAGACTTTTGACACCTCTTCCCCCTCCCCCGTTCGGTCTGGGGGTGGGGGGTGGTGGGGGCAGCTTCATTGCTTAGAGATGAGGATCGGGAGTGCTGACTTCACTAGCTGCATGCTTGTTCCAAACTAGATATGGGCAAGGCTCTGGGCATATGTATGGGCACCCTGTGCTGCATCCAGATCCCCATCTGGGCCGGAGTCGCCATCTTCCGGGAGAGCGGGACGCTGCGCGATGTGAGTACAACCTCCGGCCCTGGCGCCTGGACACGTGAGCTGACACTCTACACTGTGGCTGCAATAAGAACTGTCTGTGACCTAACGTCTCCCCATTGTGTCTTCATCAGAGATTCAAGAACTCTCTGCGGCCATTAAACTCCTGGAGATCGTCCAGCGGCCAGCGAGACCCCAGCGCCGCCATCATCGATGTCCCCTACACCGTCAACCTGACCGAGCAGGACTTCAGTGACCCCGTGTGGCAGGCGGGGGGCGGCACCGAGGCCTGACCGAGCAGGACTGTAATGACCCCGTGTGGCAGGCGGGGGGCGGCACCGAGGCCTGACCGAGCAGGACTTCAGTGACCCCGTGTGGCAGGCGGGGGGCGGCACCGAGGCCTGACCGAGCAGGACTGTAATGACCCCGTGTGGCAGGCGGGGGGCGGCACCGAGGCCTGACCGAGCAGGACTTCTGCGGTGAGACGTCTCCCTCCCATCCCAGCATGCCTCATGTTCATCCTCACTGCCCCTCGTTTCCTGGAATGATCATGTGTATTGGATGGTGGGGGTCGTCCTCCCTTGCACAACACTGGGCCCCCAAGCCCCTCCCCCCCTCCTAATGAAGACCGAGTAAAGAAGTGTAAGCTCCTATGACAAGCCCGGATGGAGTGAAGATACAGAGCCCTCCCACCAGACACCTGAGAGTCCACCCTCCCCCCCTGGGGTCACAGCAGAGATCAGGACAGGAAGTGGAGAGGTGACAACCCATATCCTGTGCCAAATGTTACCAGAGAGACCCCGCCTGTGAGATGTGTGCTGGTGAATATCTTCCCCTCTGGTCATGTGACCTTCCAATAATAAGAACATTACCCACAATCCTCAGCGCTCCGTCCCGGAGGGAAACGCCGAATATTTTCTTTAAAATTATTTTATTATATCAATAAAGCTTTGTTTAATAATATTTCCTTCCACCGTCTGAGGAGACACGGGGGGCGCCTTCCACCCTCTGAGGAGACACGGGGGGCGCCTTCCACCCTCTGAGGAGACACGGGGGGCGCCTTCCACCCTCTGAGGAGACACGGGGGGCGCCTTCCACCCTCTGAGGAGACACGGGGGGCGCCTTCCACCCTCTGAGGAGACACGGGGGGCGCCTTCCACCCTCTGAGGAGACACGGGGGGCGCCTTCCACCCTCTGAGGAGACACGGGGGGCGCCTTCCACCCTCTGAGGAGACACGGGGGGCGCCTTCCACCCTCTGAGGAGACACGGGGGGCGCCTTCCACCCTCTGAGGAGACACGGGGGGCGCCTTCCACCCTCTGAGGAGACACGGGGGGCGCCTTCCACCCTCTGAGGAGACACGGGGGGCGCCTTCCACCCTCTGAGGAGACACGGGGGGCGCCTTCCACCCTCTGAGGAGACACGGGGGGCGCCTTCCACCCTCTGAGGAGACACGGGGGGCGCCTTCCACCCTCTGAGGAGACACGGGGGGCGCCTTCCACCCTCTGAGGAGACACGGGGGGCGCCTTCCACCCTCTGAGGAGACACGGGGGGCGCCTTCCACCCTCTGAGGAGACACGGGGGGCGCCTTCCACCCTCTGAGGAGACACGGGGGGCGCCTTCCACCCTCTGAGGAGACACGGGGGGCGCCTTCCACCCTCTGAGGAGACACGGGGGGCGCCTTCCACCCTCTGAGGAGACACGGGGGGCGCCTTCCACCCTCTGAGGAGACACGGGGGGCGCCTTCCACCCTCTGAGGAGACACGGGGGGCGCCTTCCACCCTCTGAGGAGACACGGGGGGCGCCTTCCACCCTCTGAGGAGACACGGGGGGCGCCTTCCACCCTCTGAGGAGACACGGGGGGCGCCTTCCACCCTCTGAGGAGACACGGGGGGCGCCTTCCACCCTCTGAGGAGACACGGGGGGCGCCTTCCACCCTCTGAGGAGACACGGGGGGCGCCTTCCACCCTCTGAGGAGACACGGGGGGCGCCTTCCACCCTCTGAGGAGACACGGGGGGCGCCTTCCACCCTCTGAGGAGACACGGGGGGCGCCTTCCACCCTCTGAGGAGACACGGGGGGCGCCTTCCACCCTCTGAGGAGACACGGGGGGCGCCTTCCACCCTCTGAGGAGACACGGGGGGCGCCTTCCACCCTCTGAGGAGACACGGGGGGCGCCTTCCACCCTCTGAGGAGACACGGGGGGCGCCTTCCACCCTCTGAGGAGACACGGGGGGCGCCTTCCACCCTCTGAGGAGACACGGGGGGCGCCTTCCACCCTCTGAGGAGACACGGGGGGCGCCTTCCACCCTCTGAGGAGACACGGGGGGCGCCTTCCACCCTCTGAGGAGACACGGGGGGCGCCTTCCACCCTCTGAGGAGACACGGGGGGCGCCTTCCACCCTCTGAGGAGACACGGGGGGCGCCTTCCACCCTCTGAGGAGACACGGGGGGCGCCTTCCTTCTGTTGCCTGGCAGCGGTTTGTTCATTCCCCTCCCCCGATATCTTCTTTTTTTTCGTTCAAAAAGTTTTTATTTGTTTTAAACGCCAATGAAAGGAAAGTCATTCTGTCACATCCGGCGTGCGCCAGACATGTGCCATGCGTTTTGTTTCGGAGCATCCGAAATACGAATGGCAGTTTCCGAATTATATCCGAAATACGAAATTCCGTTAATGAATTTCTTTGAAATGGGAACTAATATTACCCCTGTAAATGAGGAACAACGTGACGAGATTTGTTTTTTAATCCGAAATCCGGATCCGCTGCTGCTGAGAGTCGCGTTACAATACACAGGCGGGAAATACGAAATTCCGTTGACGTGTTTTCGTTCCGTTCCGAACATTCGTTATATTGAAGGTAAAAAGCAAAGTACATTTATATTGGAGTCGATGATTTTTTTTTTATACGAAATACGAAATTCGGATCCGGAATCCGTTAACGGAATTCGTATTTCGGATGGAAAAACAACGACCACATCGGCTCCAATAGTAACAAAGGTATTTCTGCTTTTTAACTTCATCATAACGAATGTTCGTAAAGTTACGAAAATGCGCCGAAACTAACGAAAATCTGTATTTCGTACCAATCCGAATTGAGTTTCGGACACGAAATACGAAATAACGGATATTACGAAACACATTTTCAGACGGCGCAGAAGTCTCGTGTGAAATACAATAACGTAGCGAATATAAATGAGTGTTTCGTATTAGAATGTTACAATCCAGAAGGACGTCCGGCACACAGCGCAAGTACAAAGAACATCGTAAGGTTCATATAGAGCAACTGGTGTTTAGACAGGGAGAGGGGATCTTGGGGTGGGGGGGTATTATG